AGATGGCCATATTTCATTTTGTCTTTTGCTAAAGTGCTATAAAGCACCATTACCACATGTGGCATAAGTTACTTCCTTTCGAATCTGAAAATCAAAGTTTTACGTACCAATTAATGTCCAACTATAATCATTCATTTCTCACTTACTGAAAATTATTTTTGAGAAAATAATATACCACGAGTATCTAGTCTGAACATAGAATTTTCCCACATAGTTTATTTCAACCACAATTAAAATTTTATCCATAAAAATTATCAGTTAAAACTCAGGCAAACCCAATTTTTATGACATGATTTCTAACAATATATGTTTCCAAAAAATTACCAAATAAATTAATATTGTTAGAAAAAGGCAGAATCAACAACTTTACAAAATATTCTTGTTAATTAATTTCTTACATTTTTGAGTAGCTATTCACTTATAAATAGTTCACCAAGCAACAATATGTATTAACAGTTAATGCAATCACCTAATATAAACAATTAAGAAAATAATGATCATTTTCACTAATACGATTAATTATCAGCTATCTGTAATTTCCAAACAGGTCCAATATATAATACCTTCAACCTAAATAATAAATTTATATTATTTAAAATAGTACTTTAGCAAAAAATAATCACATAAAATATTTATGGTAATTAACTTGCGTAAGTAACTAACTCATATATCGCAAATAGTAATCATACAATACATGTTCTCTCACAAATTAAGAAACACAAATGTTAGTATCAAACAATTTAAAAATAGGTGTTGGTGATACTTTTTGAACAATTTTCTTAATTATAATGTTAAATATCATATTTCATTTATATTATTTTAGATTATATTAAAAAGGCATGGATGTTAAACAATTTGCTTTGATGTGCTTTAGAGGGAAAAAAATGTCGTTTTGGTACCCTAACTATTCACTCTTTTCACCTTTGATATTCTTCTACTTGTCCACATATTCAGTTTACATGCCTATGTTTGTCCCACCAATTAGTATTGATATTTTTTGTTGGTTAGTCGTATGTGACTAACAACTAACATATTACAACAAGTGAAAACTTGTATGTATATGGTTTTAAATTTTATATTTTCTAAGATTTTTCTAAGCCTTCATCTTCATTCCCAAATTGAAGACGAATTCAGTGTTTGGGGCACATGGCAAGAAGAAGCAAGGACGAGCATCAACCAAACTACGATAACCTTTTGTTGGTTTTTTGATTTTTTGGTGCCACGAATTATTACTATTGTTAGTTTTTGAATTGTGACTGTATTTTTTTAGTTATTGTAGATGTTGTTCCTGATTCGACAATGTTTACATTGAAATTTCACCATGATGGTGTAATGAACTATGAGTTGTTTGAAACGTTAGAGTTAAGGGACCTTGTTGATAAATTAGGGTATAATAGTGACAAGGTGAGGGTTTTACATATTTCTAGTCATAGTTTTGACATAGGAAGCATATGGGTTAGTGAACTTTATCTCTACAAACAAAACAGTGAAACTGGTTTTAGAGCATTTAAATCTCGTTGATGGCATATACTCTAATCTTATATTTATTGATGACCTCATACTTGACTTTTCTTATATTGATGCTAAACTTGACCAAAATCAAATGAATGATCTTGGACCTAAATTGAGTGACTCTTATTAAGATTTATTGGCTTATTCCATAAGCTTCAAATAGGTTTTTTGTGAGTGATAAATAAAAAGGGTTGCTCCCAACCTTTGATGACTAATTTCTAGAAGCTTCAAACAGGTTTTGTGTGAGACACTTGCACTTCGACATGAAAGGAGATGGTTTTGTTGGCAAGTCAGTATAAAATGTTTTGTGGGTTGTAACAAGGGAAACAAGGGTGGAGGACTTTAATGCCGAAATGGATGAGTTAAAAACTTCATATAGCAAGACTGACACCAGAAAACCCGACTTTAGAAGCGAAGCAAAGTGATCAAGAAGCTTACGAGTGGTTAGGGCATAAAGCACCTCATCAATGGTCTACTTCACATTTCAAGACTGAACAAAAGTGTGATATTTTGTTGAACAACATGTGTGAGTGTTTTAAGGCTTTCATTCTAAGAGCTAGGGAGAAGCCAATAATACCAATGCTTGAAGAAATCATGACCTTGATAATGGCTATACTACAAGCAAACAGGGATAGGTCAAGAAGCAAAATAGTAGTGGTTGTCCTAGGATTAAAAACTCCTCCTAGAAAAACATGGAACAAGAGTTGAGTGCATTCC